CACTAGAGAAGCAAGAGAACACTCACACGAAAAGTGAATTTTCTTGGTAGGACTAAGAACGCCTGTGAGAGAGGCTATATATTTGTTTTTGCATGTTTGAATATTTCTCAATATTAGAACGATTTCACATAACGATACAAAAAATGCAAATAGGTTTATTTTATGCAAATTTATTTACTGTAATATGAATTCATGTAATCATGTAATACAGACTCTATTCTCTCACTTATTGCAGCTTTTCTGTTACTTTATATAATTACATCAAAACAAAACACAAAAATTTCATTTTCCAAGCAGACTTGATATGCTTCAGTCTTTGTGCCAAGCTTTAATTGCTATAATTTCTATCATAGCACATGCAGAAGTGTACCATGCAGCATCTAGTACAAGCTTAGCTTCAAATWTTTTCCAAAAGCTTGACACGTCTTTCGGCCAAAAATACCACAAGATGAATGGCAGGAGAGAGTAACCACCTTGGGTGTCTCKTTGGTGTCAACWAATTTTTGAGAAAGCCATGCAAAGGCTGGCCAACAAAAACTCAAGTCCGTAATTATATTTGGGCTCAAAAAMGACTGTTTTGTTTTGCTCATGATGAATGACAATAAAATCCAATTATAARATAGGARACAATGCTGTAATAAGTGAGAAAATGAAGCGTGTTTTGCAACATTACATGAGTTTATTTTACAGTCAATAAAATTTGCATAAGATAAACCTATTTGCATTTTTTGTATCGCTATGTGAAATCGTTCTATTAAAGTAAAGTTCATTTGAATATTTGAATTCAAGAATCAAATCAATAAATGCAATATTGACGTCATTCGTGATCACTTCTAGTTTTCATGCTTCAGGTAGTTTGACTGTAATACTCTTGACTTATAAGTTAACAATAATTATATATTTTTTATCTTTTAACTTTCCTGCAGTCTTAGCTGGATTGAATTCTTTTTTCAAGTTCTTTATTCTTTAAGTCTGTCTACTTTGATTTTCGTCAGTTTAGTATTAAGTTTTTTTCTATTTTCTTAAAGAAGCAGTTAATTCTGGAGGGTGTTTGACAAAATTGAGTCGCTTGATATTGTACGAAAAATACTTTGACTTTCGTGTGGGCTCCCTGTGTTTTGAATAAAAAGGATATCTGTATGATATTGAAAGTTTTACAATGTTTGCAAAGCCAGTGTTTCTTCTTGTCGTGTGTGTATTCTAATAGATATACAGATGATGTCTAAATGTAGTGAGAACAAAATAGACTGTTGTTCTCACTACATTTTGATGTCATCTGTCTGTGTATCTATTAGTGAGTACACACACAGAAAAATGAGATCTATCTGTTATATACAACAAACAATTAGTTTGACGTAATCCGTGTATCTATACTTGATAACACACGAAAGCCAACCAATCAAAACGTCTGATTTTACTGAAAAGTTGTATAAAGCTAAATAGTACTGTTTCACTGTCCAAGGATTAACTCGTTATCAAAAACGTCTTATTGTCTTTAATGGATGTCAGTATAGGTTACTCCATTAATTCCGATTTGCTTATCAATGAAACTTGAGATTAAAAGTTCACATCATCTGTGTATAATTATTCAATAATGCTTAAAGAAAAGATGGTGCATGTAATAAATTANAGCAGGTTTCAATTGGTACTGCATTACTGGCATTTTTCAGTAAAATCACATTAAATTGCTATAAACAATTTCATTTGAATCGGTATGTACAAACCTTTCGCTTGTATTCTCTGTAATTTTCGAGGCTTGTCTTACGGCTGCTATGTCATCATGTTCCAGGCTATAAAGTTCCCGATTTGAAAAGCACTGACAGAAAGCCCAAATACACTATTTTCCGAACTTTACTCTGCTCAAAAACATAGTACTTTTATTTAAATTTTTGAATTTTTTTTCTCCAACTAGTTCCCTCTACTAACTCTCTGCTTTTTAACTTAAACCAAATTTATTTCACTTTTTTGATAATGTAGAATGCGAAGTTGCTTGTAATAGTTTTCTTATTACTTTTTCTGAATTAATTTCTTACATTACAAAATGGAAGTGCCATTTTCAAATATGAATATATTTTCAAGAATTATATATAACCTTTATTTGGGCATTTAATGTCATATATGCAAATCAGGACAAACCTCTTCCTTACAATGATTTTCATTGTACTGACCTTTAATGAAATATATTAATGAAGTTGATGATTGAAATATGGAAGGAATATGGTGTCTTATCCACACCATTATAATTAATGTCATTATTTAGATATTTTATGAATCTCTTGTTTTTATAAAATAATATACTATGATCTCAATTAATTGAATTGAAATACCCCAATTGGTCTTTTAAACACTGCATACAATTATTATGTTTGTCAATGAAACTAGTATTTGGATTTGATGTTATTTTTTTAAGCCATATTTATATATACTCAATTAACATTAATTAATATATATGTGATTTTGATGTAGCAGTCGAGAATGATGAAATTGACGAACTTAATAGAGGTAAGCCATACTTTATATTTATTTCACTTAATTCCCAAGGTTTGATTATTGCAACACTGTATTCTAGTTCTACTTTACTGTCCAATTCGTTGGACTGGATCCAGTCCTGAGTGCTTGCTGTGATCGTAATTTGATGTCAAATCAGCCCTGCTTCACTCCGTTGTTGATGGGGAAGGGCTCTGAGAGGTCTCTGCTGAGTCTGACTTGGCTACGCTGATCTTCGTGTAGCTGAACGACCATGTTCAGGAATTTCGGAGGACAGCCAAGGCGCTCCATGATCTGCCATAATCCTTTCCTACTCACAGTGTCGAACGCTTTGGTTAGGTCCACAAACGTTACATACAGTCCCTTGTTCTGTTCCCTGCATTTCTCTTGGAGCTGTCTTAGAACAAACACCATGTCAGTAGTGCTCCGGTTTGGTCTGAAGCCACATTGGGTCTCTGGGAGGTGGTCTTCGGCGATAGTGGGAACCAGTCTATTTAACAGTACTCTTGCGAGGATTTTACCTGCGATGGAAAGCAGAGTGATTCCCCGATAGTTAGAGCAGTCAGACTTTAAAACACATAGCTTTTGCATAATTCACATATTACTAGCGACCGCAGGTACACTAATATCATACTTATGAATATATCTCGTTCTATTATAATGACTGCGGGGACTAGGGACCACAGGTACACTAATATCATACTTGTGAATATATCTCGTTCTATAATGACTGCGGGGACTAGGGACCACAGGTACACTAATATCAT